ACACACACACACACACACAAGTAAATGTGTTTACTTGTGCACATAATCAATAACAAAAGCCAAGACTAAAACCTGAAAGCCCCTCTGGGGCTGGGAGCTGTGCGAGGAAGCAGCTTGCTGGCATCTCTGGTGGAAATGCTGGCACCGTCTCGAAGGGTGGCCCTGTCAGAGTCTCACCCAACCCAGCCTGGAGGGGCCCTGAGGGGTCCCTGGGAAGCCTTGAACTCACGAGCTGGGGATGGCGGGTTTCTGGAGGCCCACCCTCCACTCCTGGCACTCTTGGTTATTCTCCGAGAGCCCCACCCTCCCCACCCTGGCCGGGTGGGACCCAAGGCAGTGTCCCTACCAGCAACTGGCTTGGCCGGGGGCACCCGCCTCCTCTTCAGGTCCTCATCCTCGGGGACATAGTTCCGCAGCCGGAGTTCCCTGCAGGGGCAGAGAACACGCAGAGATGACATCACACCTGCAAGTCTAAGTGTGACAACCCACATGGCTGCCTCTGCAGATGCCCTGGTGAAGGGGCAGCCTGGGCAGAGAAGCCCCACTCCGTCCAGGGGCAGCTGGGGGGTGGTTCTCCCCCGCCATCACCTCCACAGGCACGCGGACAGTGCACATAGCAGGAGTGGCAGGGCCAACTCCAAACCAATCCTCAAAGAGAAAGTCAGTGATTTGGACCACGTCCCCAAACCCAACCTCCTCCTTGGGCCTCTGTGCCCTGAGGCCACTAATGAGGCGCCCCTCCCCACCAATATGGTGGGCAAAGATCAGGCAGTGCTGAGTCAGGGGTGGGAGGTGGTGTGAGGCTGACAGGAGGGGGACAAGGCATGCAGAGTACCCAGGGCCTGCGGTGCACGGGGGCACAGCTGCCTAGAGCTTGGGGGATGTGGGAGTCTTCAACACGCCAGACAGGAGGGCAGGATCAAGGTAGAAAGCACACCAGGGGTGGCCTCACAGGGCTCTGTGGCAGCAGGGAGCCACGGGTGAGGCTGTGAGAACAAGCCTGGGGGTCTCAGGGTTGTGAGAACATGTGAGAACATCGCAGCTTGCCCCAGCGAGGAGTCCTTAAAATGATACCAGGGCAGAGTCCCAGACCTTCCTGCAGGGAGAAGAGCCAGCAATGGCCAGAATCACACAAGTCACAACTGTACTGGGACCCAGGGCCAGCAGCCATGTGCTTATTTTCCCTCTCCAGCAGTTCGAAACCACCAGCTGCTCCTGGGAGAAAATGGAGGCTTCCTACTCCCATCAAGAGCGACCGTCTTGGAAGCTCACAACGGCAGTTCTACCCTCCCCCATTGGGGCACTGTGAATCCGCATGGACGGGGCAGGGAGTCGGGGTCGTTTTGGTCTCAGGCCCCTTTGGCAGGGTTGGGCTGGCAGCCCAGCACCCATCACACATTCTGGCCCCCCGTTAGGAAGGAAGCTGGGAGGGGAGGGAATGCCAGGCCTCACTTGCCCAAGTACACAAGTGCCAACCACCTAAGAGTGGGACATGGGTCCCTCCTGCCCCATTTCCTTTTGGGGCCCTTTCAAGGGCCACCAGCCCCTCAAAAGGTCTCAGCCCTCCTCCAGGGCAAGCAATGTTTTTCTCCAGGGCATCGAGGCCTTCCACAGGGAGAGGCTCTGCAGCCCACCACCCTTCTGCCCTCGGCTCCGTACAAAGTGCCCCCAGAAGGCACCTGACTTCACAGGTGAGGCAACAGCCACAGGCCACGCAGCTGGCAAGTGACAGCTCAGAACACAGGGCTTTCCCCCGTTCACTCGTTCCACCCGCAGCCAGTCCTGGACTAAAGTTCACATCCTCCCTTGAGCCCTCCTGACAGGGGTCCCGGGGTCTAGACCCACAGTGCCTGGGGTGGCCCCAGCATTTCCTGTGTGCGGGAGGGAAGTCCACCCTCCGCTGCCAGGATTTGCTTTCCACAAGGAACAAGGACAGGGCTCCTTCCCTCTCACCATGCCAAGGCCTGCCCCACCTGCCCAAGAGTGAGAGTCAGGAAGCAAAGGCCGGCTGACGTACTGACTTTCACCCACACCAGGGCGGGAGGGATGAGGGAGAGAAAGCGGAGGTGCAGAGAAGACAGCAGGGGTTAGGAAGGAAACCAGCTCCAAGCTTCTGTGAGAAACTGAGGGGAGAGAGGAGAGTCCCAGGGCGCCACACCAGGACCTCCCAGTGGCAGTCAGGCAGCAATGATCCCCTCTGGCCCCTGGGGGTTCAGAAGACCAGCTACAAAGTGGAGGACGCCGCAGGGGGGAGCAGGTGGCACAGTTGCCCCCCCCGGAGGAAGGAGATACACATCAGGGTCCAGGGGGCCTGGGAAGCCAGGGGCCAGGATGAGAGAACAAGGCGGGGAGGAGGAAGGAGAAGGAACAGAGGAAGTAGGGAGGTGGGA